ACTGTACCCAGTGCATGTGTAAACAGAACAAACAAACAAATAAATAAATAAACATGCCTCTATTAAAAAAAAAAATTAATTAAAAAAAAAAAAACTTTTAAAAAAAAAAAAAAACTGAATTTAAAAATAAAGGAAGCACTTGGAGGTGATGGGCAAGTTCACCACCCCAGGGTGGCGAGGGGCTCCTGGCGCGCTTGGCCCCACGCCCGTCCCGTGCAGCTTCTGAATCCTGCACTGCAGTTTGCGGGGCAGTAAGAAAACTGGGGGGCAGGAAAACAACCTCCATAAGATTTTTTGACCCGAGATTTGTAGCAATGCCAGGAGAGACACCCCAGTAGCAGAGGTGGTGGGAGGGGTGGGGGTGGAAGCGCCCCAGCTTTGGAATAACCCACGCCCTGATGCTGACCCCCACGGGACAGCCACCAGCTTCTGTGGGCTTCTCAATGTCCCTTGGAAAGAGTGAGCCCCATCTTCCGCCTCTTGGGGCGGGGGCATGGGGTTCCGCCGGGCAGTGACGGCGAGGTGAGACCGCCTGCGGGGGCACGGGTGGGGATGGGTAACCAGTTGCTGTGGCCTCCTGCCGCATCCTCCCTCCTCAAACATGCAGCCTGGACCATCACCTCGGCGGCCTGGACCGTCTCCTGGAAGGGGCCCCTCCCGTGGGCCGCGCTCAGCCGCCCCAGCTATCCGGTCTGTCTGCGGGGACCCGGGGCCCAGGAGCCCTCAGGGCTCCGGCGGACATTCATCCCCGTGAGCTGGAAGCCGTGACTTCCTCCAGCTGCCGTGCCTGGGCGGACAGTTCCGGGGAGCCTGGGGAACAGGAGGTGCTCGGCAGGGGACCCCGAGGCTTCCTGGAGTGCCTCTACTGCTGACACACATGTTCAACCTGAGTCCACTCAAGTCGGAGGAGCCCAGGGCCAGAGCTCGGGTGCCAGCTGTCCCCCCGGCCCTGGGCAAAAAGGAGCTTCCGCTGGGTGTTGGGTCAGGAAGGGCCTTAGAGTCAGGGAGCAATGGCCTCCGGCTGCAGCCAGCCAGGTCAGGCTCACGGCCGCCGCCTCTCCCTCCTGCAGAGCTCCCGCCCGCTGCGTTCATGGAGCAGGTGTGCTGCCCTGGCACTGCAGGGCGGTGGCGGTGGCGGGGGCTGGGGGCAGGTTAGCAACAGAAGGCAAGTTCACAGCCGGAAGCCACCCACGGGAGACCCAGCTCTGGTGGAGAACTAGGAACCAAAGCGGGGTCGGTCAGCACGCCAGGCAGAGGGCCAGCGCCTGTCTTCGCTTAATCAAGCACAGTGAGTGAATGAGTGAGGGAGTGAAAACCGAGTGTCCACTGAACCTCAAAATGCAGCTGGCCATCTCAGAGATAAAAGCTTCTCAGAGGCTGTTAAAGTTGAATTGTGTCCCCCCAATGCATATGTTGTTCCCCCCAAATTCACATGCTGGAGTCTGCCCTCTAGTGTCTCGGAATGGGGCCTTACTTGGGAGTAGGACCAGCACAGAGGTCAGTAACTTAGAACGGGGTCACTAGGGACTAGGTCCTTGACCCAGACAGCATGTGGAGGGGCCCCTATGAAGATGGAAGTGGGGGCAGGGTGATGACCCCACAGGCCGGTGAACCCCAAAGATTGCCTGCAAGATACCAGAAGTTTGGGGAGAGGCCCGGACCCAGGAGGGCCCTTGGTCTTGGACCCCCGGGCCCCAGCATGAGTGTGAGCTCCTGTGGTCTGAGCGCCGAGCACGGGGGGCTGTGTGTGGGGCTTGAGCTGTGACTTTGACTCTGGCTCTGCCGAGCCCCACCGTTGAGCCCCACCGGAACCTGCTCCAGGGCCACAGGGACATGGGCTCCTCATGATTCTTCCCCAGGTGAAGGTTGGGGTGGCGCTGAGCCAGACCCCTGGGGCAGACACTCAGCAGGGGGCCTCCCTTTTCAGAGGTGGCTCTGCTTGGTGGGCAAACAGCACCTTTGGGGGAACAAAGAGCTCTTGTGTGCAGAGCAGCTTCTGTCTGGCTCTGGGAGGAGAGGAGTCAGGGAGCGCCCCTGGGTGGGCAGAGTCCAGGGTCCAGCCGACTGTGGCGCTGCTCCTCTGAATGGGGTATTGGGCCTGCGTCTGGGTTGTCTGGGGCTGCCGTCACCTGGGGCTGGAAACAGTGGAAACCTATTCCCTCACAATCTGAAGGCCCGAAGTCCTAAGTCAGGGACTGGTGTCCCCACAAACTGGCTCCCCACAGGCCTTCCCACCCCATTTCTCACACTGGGGGCTCTCTGGGGCCACGGGATCCACATCTGAGCTTTCCTTGCCAGCCCCCCCTGCACCACGGCCTCCCTGGGCCTGGACCTCCCTGAACATGCTGCTGGTGGCGGGCCTGGTGCACCACGGCTCCCAGAGCCGCCTCGGGGGCCCCTTTTCAAGATCTGCCCGGAACGTTCACGTGGACAGACCCTGAAGACCAAGTCCCCAGCCTGAAAACGTTCACCAGGGTCTCTGGATCCGTCCAGGGTGCACGTCCTCCTCAGTCCTCGCCAGAGGCCAGGGGCCCCTGGGAATCAGGCCACAGGAGCTTGTTGCTGTAACTCGCTCAGGGTCAAAGGAGGGAATCCAAGTCTCCAACCCAGAGACTCATGGGCCCACGCAGGAGACGTGGCTCCGTCACCAGCAGGCCTGGAGAAAAGGCAGACGCTGGGTGACGTGTAGACGCGGCTCATCTCTAACTCGCTGCATTTGCAAAACTGAAGCATACCCTGTCCCCTCACCCTGCACCCTGCACCCAGGCTCCACGAAGCACTCGCCGGCTCTGGGGTCTCTGCCGCCTGCATCATCAAACGGGCAGTGTCGCCCACACCCCCCTGCAGTGTCGCCCACACCCCACCTGTGGGGCAGGTTCGGGCAAGGGTGGGAAGAAAATACTTACCTATGTTAGGGGGCCAGATGCCCCGGGGCTAAGGAAACGGGGTGGGTCTGCGGTGGGAGAGTGAAGACTTGAAGCGTAGAAATTAGGAAAAACGTCTTAGAAAATGTGGCCCTTGAACGTGAATCGGGAGGATGAGGAGGGGCTTTGAAGGTGAGCTCCGAGGGTGCTGGGTGGGGAGGCCCAGAGGGCAAGCGGGGAGGCCTGGAGGGCGGCGCGGGACACCTGGGCTCTGCTGGCGGGATGAGCTTCCATTTTCCACCCCGGGGCGCCCAGCCCTCCCCTCCCCTGTGGCTTTGTGCGGGGGGATGCAGCAACCCTGGGAGGCGGGTGGGGGGGTGGGGGGGTGACTAACAGCAGCTTCAAGCCGCGCGTGGAAGCGTCTGGGGGAGCCACGGCCTGGCCCGCACCTGCCCGAGCCCGCGTGGCCCGACGGCACAGCCTCGCCCCTGACTTAATCACCTGCGCGGCTGATGGAATTGTGAGTTTTTACAAAAAGCCGGTGACCTTTACAGAGATCACCAGGGGAGCTTCTCCCGCCGCTCTCTCCCGGGCTGCGGAGCCCCCAGGCGGCCGAGCCTGAGGGGGGGCCCCCCCCCAGTCTGCCTTTTGTGTCGCCTTGGGGAGCCCCGCCTTCTGGTGCTGGGCAGGGTCAGGACCCGGAGGGCTCCGGCGACGGGCGCGCCTCGATCCCCAATCCGCACGTCCTAAAGACGAGGTGAGGGGGTGGGGTCGAGCGGCCCCCAGTTTCTTGGGGGGTCCTGGCCACAAATATCTCAGTCACTTGCAGCAGACGCCCTCACAGAGGTCAAACCAACACTGAAAAAACGCCAGGAACTGGCGTGGGGGGGGGGCGCGGGCCGCCGCGGGGGCCTCGGGGCGGGGGGGGCGCGGGCCGCCGCGGGGGCGTCGGGGTTGGGGCGCGCGGGCTGCCCCGGCCGTGGGGGGCAGGAGGCTACAGCGGGGCGCGCTGGAGGCTCGCTCCGCACCTCTGGGGGGGCGCCCCAAGGCGGAGCGCGAGGCGGTCGGCGCCTCACCGTGTCGTCTCTGTCGCTCGACCCGGGTGCACGATTCAAGCGCAGCCCTCCCTGGCCCGGGGACGTCTGCCGAGTTTAATCGCGGGAGAGAGAAGGCCGTCGAGGGAACAGCCGGGACCGACTTTCATACAGTTCAGACAACGCGGGCGGCGGGCGGGGACTGGGGGGACGACGCGGGGCGTGTGGGACGAGGGGGGAACCAGGGGGGAGGTGGGGTGCGGGGTGCGGAGGGGCCGGCGGGGGGCCGGCGCCAGGACCGACTCCACCCCCCAAGTCGCCGCGCCGGGCGGGGGCCGGGCCGGGCCGGGCCGGGGCGCGCGAGCGGGCCAGGCCGCGAGCCTGGAACAGCCCCCGCCGTCGGGCAAGTCTTTAACCCCGGCGCGGGGCTCGCTCCGGCGGACAGGGACGCGGCCGCCCCCTCTCCCTTGGGCTTGGAGGGGGAGACGCCGGAGAGCGCGGGCGCCCCGCTTGGGCCGCCGGGCGCAGCGGCTCCGGGGCGCGCGGCCCGGGCCGTCGGCCGGCGAGTTCGCGCCCCGCGCCGCCACTTTTGTTCTCGCTGGGGGCGGCGGGCGGCGGGCGGCGGGCGGCAGTGCGCAGGCGCGGGCGGCGGGGGCGGGGCGGGCTCGGGCCCCGCCCCCGCCGCGGCCGCTGCATCCGGGCACTGCCGGACTAGCGTCGGGCCGAGGCACAACTTTGCGCGGCCCGGCGAGATCCCGGCGCCGCCGCCGGAGGAAATATAGTCCCTGCCGGCCGGCGGCTCGGGGGCGGCGCGCGGGGCGGGCGCGCGGGGCGGCGCGGGGCTCCCGGCGCCGGGGGGGCCATGCGCGGGGCCGCGCCGGCGGCCCGGGGACCCGGCGCAACTTGCCGGGCGGCCTGAGGAGTTGGGGCGTCCGCGGCTCGGCACGCGCGCCGGCCGCCCGCTCCCCGCGCGGACCCGCGTCCCCCGCGGCCGCGGGGAGCCTCGCGCGCGCCCCCCGCAGCCCGGGCCCGCCCCGCCCCCGCCCGCGGCGCCCCGGGAGCCCGGGCCAAAGTGGGCGCAAAGTGCTGCCCAAGTTGCCCCATGGAGCTGCAGCGCCGGCCCGGGGCGCGCGCGGGGGAGCTCGCGCGCCGCCAGGTGAGCCGGGGCCGCCGGGGCGCACGGCGGGGCGCGGGCCGGCGGGAGGGGCGCCGGGAGCGGCCCCTGCGGAGCCCGCCGGGGAGGGGGGCAGGGAGGGGGTGCGCCCCGGGCGCTCCCGGTCCCCCCGCGCGAGCCGGCGCGGCCGGGGCGTCGGGGCGCCGGGCCGACCGTCGGGGCCCGCGCGCCGGCGTCTCCTCTCCCGGCGCGGGGGCGCCGCGGGGCCCCCCGGGGTGCGTGCGGCGAGTGTGGGCGCCGCGCCCGCCCCGCGCGGCCCCGCGCGGCCACGCGCAGTTTGCAGAAGTAGTTTGGGGCTCGGCGCGGGGCGCGGGGCCGGGCCCGAGCGGCGCCGCGGCGCGCGCGTGAGTGTGTTGGGGAGATTAGGACGCGACTTGAATATTTATGAGCTTTGCCCGACACGGGCTCGCCGTGTTTACTTGGCTCTTTGTTCCTCCCCCGCCCGCGCGCCCCTCGCCGCTCGCGCGCTCGGCCGGCGAACTTGCGGGCTCGGGGCGCGCCGCCGGGGGCCCCGGCCCCCGCCGCCGCGAGCCGCCCCGATGCGGCGGCAGCCACAGGTAAGCGGCGCGCGCGGGACGGCCGGGAACTCGGGGCGCGCGGCGGGCCCGGCTCTGAGCGCCTCCTCTGTCCGCAGAACGGCGACCTCAGGACGCAGCTCCCCGACGGGCCGCCACGGGCCGCCGCGCTCGCCGACACGCAAGTAAGCGGGGCGCCGCCCACCCGGGCCGCGAGGGGGGCGCGGGCGCCGGGCGCACCCGGAGAGCCACCTCGGGGCCAGCCCGGCCCGCTGCAGCCCCCGCCGGGCCTCGCGTCGGGGCGGGGGGGGGGCCCGCTGGGGGGCGCGGGGCGCGGCCGCAGGAGAGGCCGCACTTGCGGGGCGGCGCGCCCGGCGTCCATCTTGAGCGGGTGGACATGTTTTTGGAACGTGGGGTTTCTCCCGGCGCGGGGACCCCCCGCGGGCCGGCCGAGGCGGGGGGGCCGAGGGGGCGGCCCTCGGGGCTGGGCCGCAAACTCCTCGGGAGTGTCCCTGGTTCTGTTCGCGCCCGGATGAGCGCCCCGGGGCTCCCCTCCCCCCCTCTCCAGCGTCACTTTTTATTCTTGGAACCTAACGCGCTCCCGGGGAACAAAAGAATGGCGCCCCCAGGGCCCCCCGGGTCTGCCCCAACTTGGGTCGCCGGGCGCCAGCATCACCGGGGCGCACCAGAGGCTCCTCGGGCGGGGGACCCCGCCGCCGCCTCCCTCCGGCCCCCCGGGAGGAAAAGTTGTCCATTGTGACTTAGTTGCGCTGAGCTCAGCGCTCGGGTTCAGCACCACGAACAGATGCCGCCGCGGCGCGCGCCCCCGCCCCGGCCCGCGCCCCGCCCCCGGCCCGCCCCCGGCCCGCGCCCCGCCTCCGGCCCCCCTCCCCCGCCCGCGCCCCGCCTCCGGCCCCCCAGCCCCCCCCCTCCCGGCCCGCGCCCCGCCTCCGGCCCCCGGCCCCCCCCTCCAGGCCCGCGCCCCGTCCCCCGGCCCGCGCCCCGCCTCGGCCCCCCTCCCCGGCCCGCGCCCCGCCCTCCGGCCCGCCCCAGCCCGCGCCCCGCCTTCGGCCCCCCTCCCCCGCCCGCGCCCCGCCTCCGGCCCCCCAGCCCCCCCCCTCCCAGCCCGCGCCCCGCCTCCGGCCCCCCGGCCCCCCCCTCCCGGCCCGCGCCCGTCCCCGGCCCGCGCCCCGCCTCGGCCCCCCTCCCCGGCCCGCGCCCCGCCCTCCGGCCCGCCCCCAGCCGCCGCCCCGCCTTCGGCCCCCCCCCCCGGCCCGCGCCCCGCCTCCGGCCCCGGCCCCCCTCACCCGGCCCGCGCCCCGCCTCCGAGCCCGCCCCCCCCCGCCCCCCCCCTCCTGCGCCCCGCCTCCGACCCGCCCCCCACGGCGCCCCACGGCCCGCCCCCCTCCCCGGCCCTGGCCCGCCCCGGCCCGCGCCCCCTCCTGCGCCCGCGCCCCGCCCCTGGCCCGCCCCGCCGGGCCCCGCCCCGCCATCCATCCCTCCTCTGGAATGCCGCGGCCGCCCCGGCCCGGACAGCGCTGCCCGCCGCCCCTCCCCGGCGGCCCCCGCCCGGCGCCCCGGCTGCCGCCCCCGGGGGTCCTCGGCGGGAGGGGCGCGGGGGCGCGGGGCCGGGCCGCGGGGGCCGGCGGCGGCCGGGCGCTCGTCTCGAGCCTTTCGAGTTGGAGACGGGTCGGGGCCGCGCCGTCGGGGCGCCCGGCTGGACCGGGGCGTTGGGCCGCAGCCGTCACCCTTTCCGGGGCGCCGCGCCCCCCTCCCCGGGCCCCTGAGCGCGCGCTCGCGCCCCGTCCTGGCGCGGAGGCCCCGCGGGGCCCGGGGCGGGGGGCGGGCGCGGGGCGGGGCCCGCATTGCCGTTCCGGTCCCGGTGCGGGGCTGGAGGGGGAGGGCGGGGGCCCGCGCGGAGCACAAAGATCCCGTAGGGCCCCGAGCGGGACTTTCTCGGAACAAAACGCGCCGCGGGGGCGGGCGAGACGGCCGGGTGCAGCGGCGCCTCCGCGGGCGGGCGGGCGGGGCGGGCGGGGGTCTCCGCTGCAGCCGCGAGGCGGGAGTTTGGCGGCGGGACCGGGACCGGGACCGGGACCGGCTTTTCCGCGCGGCGGCCGTCGGCGTCGCGGACACTGGCGGGGGCGCGCACGGGCGGCTCTTTGTGCCGGGGTGTCCGAGCCCCCCCGCCTGTGGCCGCGCTGCCCGGCCTGCCCCCCGCGGGGCTGCCGGGAGGCCGCTGGGCTGCACCTCCATCTTTGAGTGTGCGCGCGCGCGCGCGCGCGTGTGTGTGTGTGTGTGTGTGTGTGTGTGTGCGCGCGCGCGTGTGCGCGGGCCTGAAAAAGAAAACGAGGAAAACTTTTGTTCTCTGCCTTTCCAACGCGCTTCTCTCTTAAATGACCCAAAATAACACTGGGGGCCCGCGGGGCGCGGCCTGGCGGGGGGGGGGGGGGCTGCGCGGTCGCTGCGGGGGTTTTCCTCCCCCGGGAGGGGGCTCGTCACAGCGGGGGGGCCGTGGCGCTGCGGGAAGGGCCGCTCGACCCCCCCACCCGCTCTCCCCGCCGAGCTCCGTGCATCGCTGGGGCCCCTCGGAAGTGAGTCGGGTCGGGTCGACTTCGCCTCCGCGCCCTCCCCGGAGAGCGCGCTGGGGCCGCGAGGGTCGCTGGCTGGGCTCTGGGCCGCGGTGCTGGCTGCTCTGGGGGTCCTGGCCCCCCCAGCACCTGCCCAGGAGAAACTGAAATGTGGGAGTCGGGAGGAAAAAACCAGTTTTTCCAAGTGCGTTTTTAACTGGAGCTAAAACGAAAGGGCGCTCCTCGGTAGCCGCGCTTGGGGAAGGCTCACCCCCACCCGAGGTGTGTCGTGGCCCCTCCGCGGGCGGCGGGAGGGAAGGCTCAGCCTCCGTGGAGGGGGCACGCGTGGTGACGCTGGCAGAGGGGGTGGCCCCGGGACGCATCTCTCAGGAACACGGTCGCGGCCGAGCGAGATCGCTGGGCCCCGGCCATCAGCTTCCCGCCCCGCCCTTGGCCCCGGCCGTCTCCGTCTCCTCTAGAAACGCGGACTGTGTCTAAGGATGTTCACCAGGATGGTGGAAGGAGGTCGGCTGTTTGCAAAGAAGTGGAGGAGTAAGCACGCCGGGTGACCGAGGCCTTTCTCCCACCGCCCGGACCCGGCGCGGCGCGGCGCGGCCGCCAGAACTTGCTGTTGGAAACAGTTCACCTTTTTGCCTTAAGATTGAGAGAGGCGCGGGCGCGAGCTGTGCCCAGCCCCGTGGCCGCCTGTGTCCCGGGTGTGGCCGCCGCCGGGCCGTGATTCGCGCACAGGACAGAGACCTTTGAGGCGAGACCACGTGTGACGACGCCATCAGCTGCTCCGGCGGGTTGCGCCGTGCACTGGCCGCGCCAGCAGAGGCAGCAACGTTTTTATCTAAATTGTCAGGCAACAAGCACTTCCGTGTAAATCACGGGCCCCGTCACCGTGCGAGGGCGCACCCCTGCCCTGGAGCTGCTCCGGCCCTGAGCGCCGCCCGGCTTCCGTGTGAACAGCCGTCCTTGCCGGTGTGAGCGTGGGGGGGGATCCCAGAGGGGAACTTGGGGTCTTCTGGGCTGTCCCATGCCTCCATTGGATGGACTCCACGTCTCCTTGAAAGATGTCATACGTGGGGCGCTCACCAGCGCGGGGTCCTGCCCGGCTGACTCTCGCCACGGGGGCCACCGGTGGGGTTCCGCCTGACGCGTGTCCACTGAGCCAAGCTGTGGCAGAATCGACTCCCACGCTCCCCCCACATCTCACTCAGGAGGCCAGACTGTGACCTCCCTGACCCAGGGTTCAGGCGCTCGTCCTTAACTGTCATTTCACGTCACAACGGATGCATCTCCGCAAGATTCATGGTTCCCCATCAGCGGGAGTGAGGAAAGGAGCTTGGGGAGCATGGAGTGAGGCCGCAGGGGCCCCCCACCTCCGGCCCAAAGCTCAGTCTTCCTGAGCGACTCCCGCCCCCATCCACGACCCCGGTCCCTCCCACCTCCGCTGGGGCTGGAAGGTGGCCCAGCCTCCCGACGCACCCCCAGAAGAAAGCTCTGCTGAGGTGCCGTTCACAGTGCGGGTAACTCACCGCCTGGGCTGCACCGGTAAATGGTTTTTCATAGATTCACAGATTTCTGTAGCCGTGGCCACCATTAGTTTTGGAACGTTGTCGCCTCAAATGGCACTTGGCCCTTCCCAGCCCGAAGCAACCGCTGACCCCCTTCCTGTGTGCGGAGCGGCCTGTTTGGACGGCTCTGCGTGGACGCGCCCTAGGTGGGCGCTAGACCAGCCTCTTCCTTGGGCGCCGTTTCCAGGTCCACCCGGTGGTAGCAGGTGCCTGGCTTCGTCCCTTAGCATGAGCACCTTGTCACCAGAGCCGGGGGCTGGCGGGGTGGGGGGCTCCTGGGGTTGTGGCCCAGGCAGCTTGTCCACTGTGCTCATCGCCCGCCAGTGTCTGAAGACCTGACGGCGCTGCCAAGCTCGACGCCTGCCAGGCTTCCTTTCCTGCTCTGGGAGACCCGCGGGCCACGGAGCTGCAGAGGTGGCCTGCTCCCTGCTCAGTCTCCACTGGGGACCCCCAGCTCCCCGTGGCCAGCTCCTCCAGCACTCTTGCTGGACGGAGCGCTCGCCCAGCCTGTCTTGACCTTTCTGTGTCCCTGTCTTTGCTGAGGTGTGAGCCCCAAAGCCCGAGGCAGCGTCCGTCTGCCACTCCCCTGTGTTCCGGGGCTGACCATGTCTGTGGGGCGAGTGGACGGCTTTATGAAAGGATGGTGCAGCGATTAGCAGGGGTGTGCTCAGCAGTCTTAGGGGAGCACCTGGCCTAGTGTGGGTACGTGGTAAGTGATGGGTGTTTAAAATGGCCTGTTGGGGGCCTCCCTGGTGGCGCAAGGGGTTAAGACACAACCTGTGAAGCTGATTGCAGCCACTGCAGCATGAGTTTGATCCCTGGCTGGGGAGCTACCCACACGGCGCAGCAGACCTCCTGTCTCCCCGCTACTCCCCTCAGCAGTGGATTTCAGTCAGTCCACCTGTTCTGCTCCCCACTCTGTCTCTGGTGAATCCTCTCACCGCCCCCTCCCCCTGCCCACATCTCTGGCCTGTACCCCAGCTCTAGTATGCATAAAAATAAAATCTTTTTTTTTAAAAGATGTATTTATTTAGA